TGGCGCTGCCCAGAGGTTTGGGGAGGTCAGGGCAACTTGAGGTGCTGCGGTAGCTGACTAGAAAGACGTGTCGTGCTGGCTGGCAGAAGCCCCAGCATCCTGCATCCTCCAGGAGAGCACACCAGTGTCTTTTTGCTTCAATTCAAAAGGCAACGAAAACATGGAAGCAAGCAAGGTGCTTGCACTCTCAACTTCTCTGCTGAGATTAATTGCTTGGGATATTTTTAATGTTAGATACTGCTGACCTCTACCAGAGCAGTAGCATTGCTCTGCAAAGGCATGCTCTGAAAGCATTTGAATGAGCATCTCTGAGGTTCAAATACAGGAGCTATAGTCAAATCCAAAAAAAGTCCAACAGGTGAGGGGAAAAAAAAGAGGAAAAGAAATTGGTTGTCTTCCCCGTCGGCTTGCCTTTCGGCACACCGGTACGGCCTGTTCCTGTGCACTCAAAACTTCCTGCTTGAAGCACATCCATCCCTCCTGGACCCCCTTGTTTTCAAGGGTTGTTTCCCAGGGTATGCTCTGGACTAGACTTCTGAATAGGTCAAAATCTGCCCTCCGGAAGTCCAGCGTAGAGGTTTTATTGTTGTTTCTCCTTGAATCTCTGAGTATTGAAAATTCTATTATTTCATGGTCATCATCATCCCCTTCACTTTCTCCTTCAAATGCCCTTGGAGGGCCATCGGCCAATAGTCAGTCACCAATTAATTTCAGTTTATACAAGATGCTTCCTTCAAGAACGAAGTTCTCTTTAATCAGTGCTTGTTTTCACATAACTCGGCAGGAAAAGAACAGACTCTCACAGGTGGTTGGGCCAAACACAAACCAGAGTTAGCAGCATCTAATTAAGCACAAATATAGATATTTTTCGTGTTTTTCATCTATTTCATATTATCACAGTAAACCAGCAATTCATGGATATGTCCTGCTTTCAGACCTCCCAGCATCACTGAGACTTCTGCAAGTTTATTACAGTCCACAGAGGATTCAGTTCTTACCTCTAGTGACTAATAAGTGAATACAGGCTTTTTTAGCTCATTTTCCCCCCTTTTCAGTGTCTGCGGTGTTGAAAAATGAGAGTATCCGGGGCCTTCTTGTAGCAAGGGATCATGGGAGTTGTAGTTTGCCGGGTTCTCACGCATGCTCAATCAATACTTGATTGTCATTGGTTGAAAGATCATGTGACATGTTTAAGCGCTGTATTTAAACCTAAGTGTTTTGAAATAAACCTCAATTCTGCTCTGGCACTGGTTCGTGTCTGAGCAGGGTTCGTGCTTTATACAACACCTCATATGGTTGCCCGCATCGGGACTTCACCAGGCACCGGGAACCAAGAGCATTAAGCTCTGGGGTGCCTGCCAGAGGTGTCCATATCGCCCGGATCAAAAAGGAAAAAAAGGAAGAATACAGCACACTGGATTACCTCTGCAAAAAGGGACAAAAAAGGAAGAAAAAAGGACCGGAAGAAAGGACAACAGAGATTCAGCACACAGAGGTAACCAAAAACTGGCGAAATGGGAGGGAGGTATTCCCATAAGAGGAGGTTTTCCTCAGAAATTAAAGAGACAGTTGAAGCTATAATCCATTTTTTAAAAGAACAGAACAGAAATATAGAAAAAAATAGACTTTGGGACTTATTGTATTGGATTTCCATAAATGAACCCGTTCTACCTTTAACTGGCATTCACCAAGTGTTATCTTGGAGGAAAATAGGAAGCAGGTTAATTGAAAAAACAAATGAATGTGATATAGAAGCTATCAAAAACTTAGCAGCATGGAAAGAAGTTATGACTACCTTGAACTTACATTACAAAGAAGTTAAAACAGCCAAGACAGTGGACCTTTTTGCCCCCAGGTCTGCTCTAGCCCCAGTCCCCCCTCCCCCCCGGACCGTGTGGCCCGAAAACAATAGAGTAGGGATGGTGCACATTAGCGGAGAGAGATGGGGGGGATGGGGAGAAGGGGGAGCCCTGGGGGGGGACAGTGCAGTGACAGCGTGTAGTCTGGAAGCACATGGCGCTGGGTTCACCCTGGAACCACGCGCTCCTTTCTGCCCCCTCCTCCCAACCGCCGCCATTGGTATGTGTTTGGGGTCGCACGCGGCGCTTGTCGTGGGCGTTGCACCCCCCGCACGCTCAGTCACATGGTCTCCCGCTGCGCCGAGCCCGGTCCCTGCAGCGAGGGTTCTGTTGACGACCGGGGCTGCCATGGGACCCCATGCCTCTTGGGGCGGACCCGTGGTCGGCGGTTGGATCTGTGGCGGAGCCACTCGCAGCCGCACCGCCCCACCCGGGCTTGGGGGGTGGTGGTGCAGGCTCAGCAACGGGACTTTCGGCCGAGTGTGCCGGTCGGGCCACAGCATGGTCAGCGGGCGTTTTCGTAGTGGATCCGCCCACGGTCATGTTGCCTGCCCTTGGAGCTGCGGTGGTAGGAACTGTTGGCTTTGTGGGGACTGACTACTGCGCTCCATGTGCCGGCATCACCAACCCTGCAGCGGCAGCAGTGGCGGCGTTTGCGGCACGCACAGTACTGGGACGACCTGGAGCCAGGGCGGTGGTGGCGTGGGGGACTGCCAACTTTATGCCACCGCCTTGCAGTTTACAGTTGCGCCTCCCGCACCAAGTGCCAGGCCAGGTGGAACAGTGGCGGAGGGAGCTGGAGCAGTGGCCCGGTTGCTCGCGGGCAGTCAAAGACCGGGTGGTATGGCAGCAGCTGCGCTGCGGCAGAGCGGAGCGCTGGCAGGGGTGCAAACCGCCAGCACCGGCACTGTGGTGACTACAGGTGAGCTGCTATTGCAGGGGTCAAGAGAATCTGCTAGCTCCCTTTAGCTATGCGGTGTCCATGAGACCACCGTGGAGAGAGTGCAGGGACATGGCCAGGTGACTGGGGCTCGGGGCTAGGGCACCAGCAGCAGTGGGGGCTGCGATGAGGGAGCAACAGAAGGACTGCTATTGCGGGGGTCAGGAGGGTCCAATAACTCCTTTTGGCTGCGCAGTGGCCATGAGACCGCTGCAGAACAACCACACAGCAACGTGGACACAGCAAACTTACTCCAGCAGTGAGGCGGAAGTGAAAGGGCCTCTTCCGTCACCACCAGGTCAACCAACACACAACAAATACACAACCGTTAAAGCACCACCGTGGATCTCCTACCAAGAAACCAACCCACAGCCCTGGCCAGCCTCAGAACAGCTTCTACGCTGAAGACGGTCTGATGGAGGAGGAAAAAGAGAATTTAACACCTGGAAAATCTTAGCTGAGCTGTGGCAAACTGAACTCAGCGAGATAAGAGAACCAGAAAAAAGACAAGCAGTTTTGGATCCTGCAAAAGAGGAAGAATAGCAAACGTGGCTACAGTTACTACTTCAGCTCGAGGAAGAGAATGCAGACTGGGAAAGCACACAGAACATATGCCTGGTCAAGCCCAGACCATCAGCAAAGTCAAAGCTACCGACGTTGCTGGCGATGACAGTTGTTGGTTTTATGCTGCGAGAATTTCAGCTGGAACAACATGGTCCACCTACTGACACGACCAACAATCTAGAGGTAACATTACAAAACACAGTAGACATACAGCTATCAGCTACCATGTTTAATTTTCTAAATCACAAAAGGACAACTTTACTAATTGACAGATTATCTGCTATTATAAAAAGTTCTTTTGTGTTACAGGGGGTAAGAATAGTAATAATAGGAGGGGCCCAAAATCGAGTATTTACTTCTCACTATTTTAAAATGCTGTTAGACAATATGCCATACACAACATGGAAAGTCAAACCTAAACAAGTAGCAAAGAAACAACCAGTTACAATTTCAACTGCGGAAACACATAACCCTTTATACACAGTCACTGCAAGAGCCTTGATAAAGCAAAACAAACAAAACCCTCATACAACACAAGCCCAAAGATACTCCACAAAGTTGCAACACACAGCAATACACACCTCCAAATTCACTCAAAACACAAACATGCATAAATTGGCCTATACCGAAATTAAACAATTAGAGTGGGAGGCAAAGACAGGAATATCAAACATCTTTAGTAGCAAAACAGATATAACCTCACAATGGCCCTTAAAAAACATCCAAACCTATTTAACAAGTTTTCTTAAACTAGCATCCCCAAAGCAAAAGAGAGACATTATAACCAGCAATAACCCAGACAATAACTCTGTTTCCATTGGACTCACTGAAATCACTCATTCTGTAGAACAGAGACTGCCTCTGTCAAAGAGGAAATCAATTAACAGCAGATTTTTCCCAAAGGCAGCTTTATTGCAGCTGAACCCACAAGTGACCCAAGAAACAGGTAACCCTAAATCAATAAAACAATGGCCTTTCCTTAAAACAGAGGTGATGCATTTACATACGCTATTAGAAAACCATATAAACACAACCTCACTATGTACAAAAACCCTTTCGCTCATCTATCAATCTCTCAAACCTAAAGAAAGATGGGTTTTCATGCTTTTTGCCCCTATCTCAGAGTTAGAAAAGAATGAAGTTTTTGAAAACCGAGATTTTATAACTTACTTTTTAGTTAAAGAAAAGGGTAAAAAACACTTCTTGCGTGATTGCCTTTGCAAAAAAGGAAATAATGTGTTGCCCCTTTGTGGCAGTTTGAGCTACAACATTAGAAATCTAAAATCCAATTTCCAGGCTTCCCCCCACCCTTTTCCACAATTTATCCTAACACCGGAGAGAAACTTTCAGGTCAGAGGCTTCTATAGGAGAAGGGGAAGTATATACATTTATTTAAACAAATAAATATACTGTACAAACTAAAAGCAACTATATATATATATTTACATTTCTGTCAGTCCTTTTAAGTCCCTCCCTTTAACTTTAGTCCAGGAAGAGCTTTTCAAGGCTGCTGGGTAACCAGTCTCTCTCTCGTGGGAGTGTTCGGGGCCCGAATGCTCCCCCCTCACCAAGTTCTGGCTGTTTGTTGCAGTCTTTCTCCTCACAAAGTCCAAGAAGATAGCTTTGAGTCTCATTTCTGCTGTATGATCTCTCTCTCCCAGTCTCATACCTCGGTTCGTAGGCTGCTGCAGTGTAGTTTAGCTTTCCAAGCGTCTGCATCCTGGAATGTTAATTCCTCCTTGGGTTTTTGGCTGTCCTCCGTTTAGATCATGGTAGAGACATCCTCCGGGTCTCTCTTTGGTCCATCTCCAATTTCTCCTGGGATTCCTTTCCCTAGTTCCGAGTTGTTTCGTCAGCAGCCCATCCACTTGGCTCTGCTTAAATGTTGAGCCTTAAAATCCACCCCCCACCAGCCTAAATGCAGTGGGGGGAAAAAAGCCCCCTAGCCTTGGCCACAGGCAGCTTGGTTCAGTTATGCACTGTCCCAAGTGTCCTGCAGCTGCAGGGGGGGAGAAGAGGGCCTAGCCTCCTCCCTCTTACCTCAGGTGCTGTGAATTTCTTCCTTCACAGCACACACACCAAATGCTGCCTCCAACTCTGGCCCAGGCAGAGTTGGGGGGGGCTGCAGGGCTCCCCTCCTCCCCCCGGGGGGGGGGGAAAGAGGGAGCCCAACCACCCCCTGGCCTCCCACACCTACATGCAGCAGACACCAACAGCACAACACCAAGACTGCCAACAGCTTCTGGTACTGTGTATATATGATTTTGAGCAAAAGCAAACAACATGGATGGTGATTGGCTCTCCAGGCAACACTGCCCTGGCACCCAATCACCTCTGAGCCCCCCCAGCCTCTCAGAGGGGGTCAATTTCAAACCATGACACCCTTAAACATAACAACAATAATTTACTGTTTAACAACTGGGTGGAATTAGATTTTGTCATTTTCCACCACTATTCCTGTTCCTATAAAAATTTCCTACTAACTCTTTGGCTAAACAAACAAGTGACTTGCCTTTGGGTGAAGAAGATGACAAGCCCCTCTCATCTCTCACTCAGAATCTCCTTTCTTACACAATATGGAAAAAGAAAGCAAAACATAGCGAACTAAAACTTTACTAACTATTCACTCATACCACTGCATTTTACATTGTCAAGAAGATAGAAATTTTACTTGTAATATTTGTAGTTTTTTGTTTTCAAATCAGTATTCTTAAAAGTAGTGTAAATTGTTTTCTTAACAATAGAAATAAAGGGCAGAAAATAGTTTAAAAACATTTACACATGGAATGAAATTTAACATCTCACCATCTTAAAGCCCAATATATTCATTCATTCATATTTTTAAATATAAAACTGGCAGATACAAAACTTTTATTGGGTTTAGCAATTCCATATTCTTCTAGTTATGCTAAAGAATGTAAGATAAACCTTTTATCAATCATCAAACAAAATTGCTACACATATTACAAAAATTGAAGCAATATAAACAATTTACTAGGGAGCTAAATTTGAACTAAATAAATTCACCTACAGACTGTTTCAGCATAAATTGCATGCTGATTACCAATCAATTACTGAACCCAAGGTAAAGAAAAGGATTTGAAACCTTCTGTTTCATGGTATAAAAAGAGAGAAAAATTCTCCTTGTTGCCTAAAAGCTTTTGTAATTATTTTTCACTATGTGAATTAGTGTCATTTTAACCAAGAACATTTATCTCCACAAAACCAGAACACTACAGCTTCAAAAATTTTCCCTATTTTTTCATTAATTTCCCAGTAGCTTTAAGAATAAAAGTTATTAGAAGTTATTAAATTTTCAAATACATTCACATACATGCAATTATCACAATAATGTTATTCAAATAATAAGTATAGAATCTTAAACATCCTCATATGTTACATTCAAACATTCTCAAAACATTTTGCTATCACAAAACAACATACAGAATGTCAACAAGAGTGCAAAATAACTGCTTGAAAATTGCAACTACCTAAGAGACTGAATTAAACCTGATATTATTAAGAAATGGAGACTGTAAAACATTCCAGAAAAATTTAACAGGACCAACAATGAAATCTCCAAAGAAAACTACACAACGAAAGATTATCTTTAAAGCCTTCAGCCAAAAAGCAAAAGACACTATAACATAGAGTGACTCACCGCTATTACTTCAAAAACTACAGATTCACCTGATCCTCGCATCTATTCCTGCCCACCTTTCATCTGAAATAGACTGAACTGTTATTAACATGTTTGCCAAGATTGTTTTTAAGGATAAAGAACAACTACAAGAAATGAACAAGACACTGAGATCACCTGCGTCTGGACAAACAAAGAAGGACAATTTAACAGTAAGGTACAAACCTTGGACCAGGTTCTAAAGTGTTACAACTTACTCATGTACTTAGCACATTTAAGTTGTTTTGTAATTATGCTATGAATGTTGTAATTGATTCATGCTATGCTACAGAGTTACTTTCACATCTCGAAACCTCCTTCCTTCGAGATTTCACTAACCCTCATTTACCTAGAAAAATACACACCACATAATTCCTTGTTAATCACACAGAATCTAACTCTTACATAAGACACATCCATTCACACACACATTCCAAATAGAATAATACAACAACACACAAAAAATACTTCAAAGGCAAAAAAGAAGGGGATCAGTATATAACCCCCAGGAACACTTATAGAAAACATCATATGTTCTAAATTTCTTAAACTGTGATGATACAAACCATAGTAGGTATGAATACCAACATAAAACTAAAATACTTTCACCTTCCGAAACACCAGTTATGATTAAAAATCTAATATCTAGGCAATGATCAAGACCAGTAGATCTCATAACTTGAGGGGAGATATATGCCTGTGTATCAAAGAGTACCAAATTACAAAAGGTTCCTTCTAAATGTATCAGGCCTTATATTAGCCCTCCCCTACAACAGAAACAGTCACCAGAAAAAATGAGTGAAGTAATTGGATTTGAAGAAACACAACCAACAATAGTAAAAGGAACACACCACACATTGAGAAACATACTATAAAAACACAAAAAAAGGGGGGGAAAGAGATATGGATCTAGTCCCTGTATGCGTAAATCTACATTAACACTTCTTCAAAACAGGAACAATCACAAAGAAGCAATAAATGATACAACAGAACCAAAAGAAACACAAACAGTAACCAATACAAACCCAAAACTCCATGATTCAAACACAATAATGAGTTTAACAATGCATGTGTGAGGAGAGAATGAAACAGTGGCCACCAGAGTATGAATGAGAAAGTTGAGTGGACATATGTATGTGTGTGTGAACGCAAATACACTTTATAGCAAGACAAACACTACCTCAAACACAACATCTACAACCCAACACATTTCCCTTTCAAATAAAGATGATGCCATTACACAAAATCACCCTCAGATAAAAGGTTATTACCCTGGGTAATTTGAGGTTGCTTGAATATTGCATGAACCAATAAAATTGCAAACAGTTCAATAAAGACCTTGTGACGATAAACCCTGTTTTTTATAAATAGTTGAAATAAGATTGGTTATGATAAGAATGCTTCAAAAATGTATTGTTTTACAACTTGTTAATTATTTAAAGAAGGGGGAGATGTAGCAAGGGATCATGGGAGTTGTAGTTTTCCTGGTTCTCACGCATGCTTAATCAATATTTGATTGTCATTGGTTGAAAGATCATGTGACATGTTTAAGTGCTGTATTTAAACCTAAGTGTTTTGAAATAAACCTCAATTCTGCTCTGACACTGGTTCGTGTCTGAGCAGGGTTTATGCTTTATACAACACCTCACTTTCTGGTGTCAAACCAATGGGCTACAGGAATCACTCCTCCAGTACAGAAGAAGGTGACAGCTCGTACAACTTGGATGCAATCATTCACCAGCTGAACACATTTCACAGAATCATGTGTGACCAGGGTCTGGACCCAGAGATTGTGCAGCAGGTCTTCAAGCAGTTCTTCTACATGATCACACAGCAACAGGAAAGAACCTGGTCTCCTGGTGCCAGCTGTGCACTGCCCAGCATCAGCATACCACTTCCACAGTGAGGACAACTTGTCCTTTTCACGACTGATGTTAGGTACTCCTGTCAGAGGTGGTCACTGTGGTGGCTCCTCTCTTACAGTGCCACTAATGGCACTGAAGCTCCAGAAATCTGCAAAGATGAAAACCAGCCCTGAGGAGTTCATGGTAGAAGTCAGACACTTGGGATTTTAAATTCACCCACTGTCTTTTGCCAGGGTCTAACATGGCTAGGTCTGCAGGATGCCCACCAAGGATTCCTGTTTGGGGCAGGAGGTTGAGAAGTGCCCACCTAGCCTGACTGGATCCAACCTTAAACTTTGAGACTCCATTCCAGGAGAATATAAACTCACATGTTTTACTTCCGGATATCCTGACCTTAATTCGATAATGTTGTGGGAAGGGAGAAGCGAGAGGTGTGAGCTGACCTCCAGTGGTTCTTGAAGATCCTTTCTCCTGTATCTCCATCTCCCTGTCTTGAACATGTGTTTTTGAGAGAAACTGAGGGGTGGTAGGGGAGAAACAGGAGTGAGGGAGCATTGAGAGAAGTGTTGTAGAGGTGACATCAGAAGTACTGGGAAGTGGTCACCTGTATCACCATGTGCCAACCAAATGGAGTCTGTAGGGGCTTACTATACCTTACAAAAGGCAAAGAAACACCAGGATGATACTTGTGCTGCTTCTGCTTCTCGGTAGTGTCATGGAAGACTTGTTATGGCCATTATCAAGACAAACTGTTTAGTGGTGCTTTGTATTCTGGAAAAGTTTGGCTTCTCATGACTGCCTGTAATCCTATTTTGTTTTCAACAGATTGTAAAGATACTTAATCTCTACACTCCTGTGAATGAGTTTGAAGAACCTATGACAGTTGCTTTCATATGAAACACACAGGTAAATTAAAGGACTGTAAAGTGGAGGAGATGGCACTAATGACATCTGTATAGTACTAATGATATCTGTATAAAATCATTACTAACTCAGACATTTTGTAATAGACATACTGCAACATGTTGTCCTGAATTAAGTGTTCTGTGTGTGCACATGGTTACTTACAACATACAGCTGCAGGGATAACCAGACTGTTAATCACAAAGAACAATAAGCACTTAAGTTTCCAGCTCAGCTAATCCAATGCTTCTTAGTAGCAATGCAACTCAGAATTAAGGTTTCAGGAGTCAGCAAAGCATCGGTGAAATGGAGTTACTTCTGAAATACAAGGCAGAAATTGGTAACTAAAGGAAACATAAATAAATGAAAACCAAACATCCTTTAATGCTCACAAGGAGGACACAGGAAAAGGAAACAGAAATGTATTTGACTACTCTCAGAATATATGTCCATCACTGAACAACTGAATCAAAAGTGTTCTGCTGGTATTGTGCAGTGTTCCTTTTGCTGTGCAAGGGGGTCATATTGTTTCCAAGTCCTGTATCTTATTTCGTGGTCACATAGAAAATGTAGCCAGGTTCTTCTGAAGCAGTGTTTCCTACAGTCTCTGTAGAATTTACTGTAAATACTTGCTGAGAAGAAGGTTGCTGCAATAGAAAACAAAATGGTTCTGTAGTAGTTTG